ATGCATTTAAGGTCTTTGTTTAAAAATCTATGAGCAACACGATATAGATATGAAGATGAGATCTATGGATCTTGCGTGGGCAAGGTTGTAGCATTTATGGCTGATGAGAGTTGGAGGGTAAGGTAAAATATCAGGCTTTTCTGCCCTCCCGCCATCAGGATAGATGACGGAACCCTGCGGTCCTGAATGTGTTATAGGACAGGGAGAGGGGCAGCCCAAACCCCGCAAACCTGCCTATTCTAAATGGGTTCTGCCATCCGCCGCATCAACACAAAACATGAGACTTTAATGGGAAGGAACTTTAATAAAACTAGGAAACAATACAGGTAAGGCAAAGAGTCTAGTTTCTAAATGAAGCACCCAAAGTTACCCGTCCCCTCGTGGGTAAAAGTCCATCCATATGGGATCGGCCCAGAGCAAGGCCCCAAAGCCTGCTACAAGTCTAAAGCATCTTCCAGTGGGACCCACAGCAAAGGGTCACAAACAACCGGACAAGCCCGGAAGGAAAAGAGCAAAATCAACATCCAGATAAAAGCTGCCATTGTCACCTCCCCACGGGTCTCACCCACATCTGTGTCACCCAGTCCATGACCAAAAGACAAGCGCAGTTTCTTCACGTGTCTCTAGGCTCCATGTGCCTCCTCCAGGTCTCCTGGCTCCATCCTGCTTCCTTCCTCAGTCTCTTCTGCAGCTTCTTCTCTCCCTGCTCAGCTCCACCCTTCCTTGGGTGGGGCAGGGAACCTCCCCCTTTCCTGGGGACCACCCTGTTACAAATGCATGCCTGATGGCGGGCACCTGGAGTAGGGTGTGGGCATAGGTAGATGGGATTCACCTGGGCTGAGACTGGGCTTTTCAGGGCGGCGTCACAGGGACGCCAGAAGAAGCAGAGAAGCAGAAGCAGAACCACCAGAGAATGCTGGAGAGCCCAGACTTGCTGGGGGCCGGGAGGCCTGCCAGCCTCCCGGCCCCCAGCACCCCTGCCTGCTGTGTACCTGGTAAATTCCAATAAAAGCCTACAAAAGCCACTGAGGGCTCCAGGACTCTCTCCTTCTTTTCCCGGTTTGCTGGATTAGAGAAACTGCTCCATGCCTTCCTGCCGCTAGAAGAGCACACATGGGCCCCTCTTAAAACCAGCACTGCCCAGCAAGGCGGAAGCAGAGATAAGCTGAAGCAGAGATAAACTGAAGCAGAGATAAGCTGATGGCAGTAAAGAATTCCAGCAGACACCCCTCCTGCAGTAGAGACACCCCATGCCCCACCCACCCTCCAGCACCCCTCCACCCACTAACCACCCTCATCCTCCACCCCCCCGCCCCCCCCCAGCTGCCAGCACTGCCAAAAATTCTGACAGCAGCCCAACACTATAAAGACCCGGTTTCCCAATCTCCGCAGGGGACTTTCACTCTGTTGGAGCCGAGAGTTGTCCTCATGGACTTTTGCTAAATAAATTCTGCATCAGTCTGATACTCTTGGCCTATTTGTTTTCTAACAATCGTCCTACTGGGCAGGGGAGACAATATCTCTGGATCCTCACTTCCTCTCCAGGGAGGGGCAGCTCTGATAATTCGATGGGGGGAAAAGTCAAGAAGGGGATCAAACCTGTCAGAGGAAAGGAACCCCAGCCTCCAGGCCAGAGGTCAACAAAAACCCTAACCTTACCCTACCCAGGTGGGTATCATTATAAATCAATGTCTGTAAATATCGCCTAAGGACACCCAAGTTTTAAAATCAACTGTGGTTTCTTTAGGGACGTCTCACTTCTGAGATGGAGATCTTTTCAGGAGGCAGAGGAGAGGACAGTGAGGGAGACAGGGTCTCAGATGATTAGGTCTTCTCCCCCTTGTGTCAGCTGCAAGGGGGTGTGGCTCTGAAGGGAGGTTGCAGAACCTGTAAAGAGGTTGCAGGTGACAGAGGCTGAGCATCTGCAGAGACCCCCTCGGGTAGGGACTCTGGGGCCAGAACAGCCTCTGGAAGTTCCCCAGGGCTGGAAGAGGAGAGCCGGACTCTGTGGAGGGAGCTGTACCCTCTCTTGCACACACTTCATTTATACTTCGTTCCTTGAGCTCCCACTAACACCCCCGCCTCCAGGTCGCTGGCCTTAAGCCACCTGGCTCTCCTAGAAAACAGTGCAATGAAGCCTGCGAGAGCCTTTTCGATTGGAACACGGCGCGTCTCGGGGTCTGGGTTTTCTCGGCTGTGAAACGCACGGGATGAGGGTGGAAGGATGTGAGGGACGAAAGCACCGGCAGCTGGTGAATTCGGTCACAGGCAAGCGCGTCCCGGCGCGCCCCGCGGCGATGCCCCTCCCCACCAGGGGCTGGAGCCAGAGAGGGCACTCCCGGGCGCAACCCGGAGGGATCCGCGGGCGCGCTTGGCACCGGCTGGCGGTCTTGCGTGTGGCCTTTGCCAGCACCGGCCGCAGGCTGGGTGCGCAGGCCTAGGCGACGGCTCCTCCCCGCCCTGTTTGGGCGGACGCCCTAGTGCCAGCGACCGCGAACCACTAATCCGCCCTATTAAGAAGGGCGATCCCAGGGCCACCTGCCAAGTGGAGCCTGGGGGAAGGAAGGAGGGGCGAGCAGAGCACTGCGGTTCTGCTTCTCACGTCCCTGGTCCCCAGCCCCAGATCCCGGCCCAGACTCAACCCTCCGCTCTGCCCCCTTGCCGACCCCAGCCCTCCAGGAGGTCTTCCCCTTCGGTGATCTCCAAGCCCAAGCACTGGCCGGGGAAGGCCGTCCCTCCTCCTGGCTTCTCTTTTAGTAACTTTGCTTGATGAGGGCCGAGACACAGAGTTTGTTAAAGGGTTTCCCCCTAGATTTCAAAGTGATGATTAGAGGGGAGAGAGGGGGAAGGGACCCTGCCACAGCCAAGCGGGTGCATAGTCCACAGCCTCCCACTCCTCTGCAGCTGCCTTGGGCCCCTGGTGCTGGTTTTGGCAAGTTGGCCTGGAGGAGTATATTGAACTGGATGTTCGGCACTCTAGGGACAGAGGTGTTTTTACTTTGTTTTGTTTGGATTTTTAATTGGGGTCCAGATTGGAGAGATTTACTGGTGAGAAGCCAACTATCTGCTTTCCTCCCTGGGCTGGTGACACTCCCGCTCAGGCAGCTGCCATATGCTGGGTTACCATTTGCCCAAACAAGTAAAAAGGGGGCTCCCAGCTCGCTCCCAGAACGTGGGTGCTCGGATGCCTCAAGGCTCTCTCCAGGGACCTAAGCCTGGGGTCCCTCTGGCACCTAGCACACCTTCTTTCTGAGACCCAAGCTACTATCCTGACCTTAACAAAGGATCTCTGGTGGGAGACCCCAAGATCCTCAGGCCTGAGGACCTTCCCAGCCCAGAGCGGGGCCCTGGCTGGTAACTTAGTGACATGAGTGTTCAGATCAGGATTACTGTCCACCATCAGCTTCCTGCTTCCCACAAACAGAGATGCCAAAAGTAGTAAATAGCCCTGTTGCTTGATTCAGGTGAAGTGAAGGTTGGAGGGCCTGTGGCAAAATAGAAGGCCATTCTGCTCAGTGAAGATGCTGGCGTGGTCCTCCTCTGGGGAGTAAGGGCCCAGCTGTGTGGATGGCAGAGGGGTACTGCTGGGACTGACATTTGGGTCCAGAAGGCTTTGGGAGTGTGGCAGATACTTTGGGATCAAGGACATTTGGTTCCAGAAGGCTTTGGGAGTGTGGTAGATACTTTGGGATCAAAGACATGGTAGATGTTCATAAATTTTGGGTTTAATTCATTGGAGTTTTGTTTTATTCTATATAGTACTGCTTTGTGATAATTTTGTTGAATTATTTAATTTTCCTCTATTTGTGTCTTAGGTAGGAACTATGTCTTATATGTCTTTATAACCTTCCAAAGTATGTATAATAGGTGCCTAAAATGTTAATAATGAACATGTTTTCTCTTCATGCAATAAAGCCAGCCTGAACTCAGGCCAGCTCTTATCTAAAGGGAGCTGTTTTAGGAGAAATAGAAATTCAGCCTCTTGAATTCTACCCTCCACGAAATTCCAATCTTGTTTTCCAATTACTCCTGCTCAAGGTCATTTGAAAGGTCACAGCCAGAATTAGAAACACCACTCAGAACCTTTCCCAGCTGATCACCCAATAACAATAACATCCTTACTCTACAAATGTTTTGCTTACACTTTATTATAAAAAATCAGTAGATGGAAGGGAGCTATCTGTCATCTGTCAACTCTGCCCTCCACATCTGTCCAATCTGTAAAAAATGAAAGGGCTCTGATAAGAGACAGGAATAGAAATGGTGAGTGCGGAGCATCATTGTGGAAGGCCTGGGAATCAGTGATGAGCCTGCAGGTCATACACCCCTGGATGTCTGCCCACTGTAGACAGGGGGTCTGGAGCAAGAGGGAAGAACTATCCAAGTGAGAGATATTTATGATCATTCTGGAAATCTCCTTTCCCTCTGGAAAGGAAGGGTAGAGAAAGAACCAAATCCTATTATTTCACTAAAAAAAAAAGTAAGCACTGTGGGAACTCAGAGATAAACCCGTTTACACACAAATTCTAAGTAGTAATAGAAATAATAAAGATTGGTCTTGAAACCCAAGGGCTCTGGCTTCAGCCTTCCCCTTCCCATAAACTCAACTCACAGTCAGATTTGGGGCATTGCCTTGTAAAGTTCTGAAGTTTCCCTCAGCCCTGCTGCCAGGACTCAGCTGTAATTGGAGGGAGATTAGTCCCCACCCCATAGGTCCATCATACGCCATTTCACTTGCTTGTATTATTCACTGTGTTATTTGCTTGCTTGTATTATTCAATCTTTCTTTCGTATCCCTCAAACTTAATATTCATCTTGCTTATCACTTCCCCCCAACACCAGTTTCAAAGACCAGTTCAAAGCACACAGGAGATGAAGGGTTAATCTATTAACTGCAGTACTCTCTGCCCTTCCTGGAATCTGGAAATAGGAATTGTGACTGTAGTCCCTTATCCAGGGAAGGTGCATGGGAGGGCTGGGGCTGGGTGCTTTCTGAGCAATCATTGTGGCCTAGGGATCTTGCCCATGCCAAGAGTCTGCTGCTCCATCAGGTAGACTGGGTAGGAATTGGGGCCATGATCATCCTCGGAGTTATTGTCGTCAGACTTCTGAATCAGTGCATGACGCTTCCGTGTCATATAAGAGACCTGTGATTGGAGAAGGAGAAGGGAGGAATGAGTACCCTCTAGATGTCATCTCCTTTCTCAATACCCAGAGTGCAGGCCCTTAAATTCTATTCTTCTAATACTTGACCTTTTGCTTTCCCCATTCCCAAAATTCCACCCAAACCTTGTCAAACCCCAACAGAGATTCCCAGGTTTCATCTCCAACTCCTCCTTCTGCCCTATTTTCCTTATCCTAATATCCCCTGTTCTCATAGCCCAGGCTCTATCTCCAACCCCCAATTATTCCCTCCTTACACCCTTTTTTCTCAGTCACAAATTTCTCAGTTCCACTTTCTGTATCCCATCTATCTGTTGTCTTTTCCCATAGTTTTCACCACCACTACCCCTCAATTACCATTCCCTGCACTAAACCTCCTTTGCTGGATTAATAAGCTCTCCTTTATACCCTATCACATGGGGTCACTCCCCTCGGGCATCCTTGACCCTTACCAAGAAGATCAGGCCAAGGAACACCAGGAAGAGAATCACAGCCAACAGGACCACAATAACTATGGCCCACACGGGGAAAGAATCATTCTCCCCCACCACTCCTACATTGAGACCGCCCTGTGAGCCGTCTTTGTCCTGATATGGATGGCTCATTTTGTCTGGGGCTTCTGACGTGGTTAATTTCAGCTCTGTGCTGGATGTGGTGACTGTTAAAGAGCCAATGGGCACCTGACTGTTAACTTCAGTTTTGTTTGGATGAGGAGAGGTCACATTAACAGGTCTGTCTCCTGTGACCTTGACTGTGGGCCTTCCAGTCTCTGTGGATCCTGTGTTTCTTGCTGGGTTTATTGTGGTCTTCACTGAGGTTTTTATGGTCTCAGTGGTCAATGTGATATTTTTTAGTTTGTTTGTAGAGCTTGTTGGAATTGAAGTGGTCTTTGGTTTTGGGGCTGTGTTCTTTGTGTATGCAGTAAGCTTTTCTGAGGTGCCTGTGTTTGTCCCATGAGTGATCAGTTCTCCATGATCTGTATGAGTGGCTGGAGTTGGGGTGATGGTCCCATGAGTGGATGAGGCCATATCCCCATTATCTGTATGATTGGCTGGAGTTGGGATGGTCTCAAGAGTAGATGAGGCCATTTCCCCATGATCTGTATGGTTTGCTGAAGTTGGGGTGACATCCCCATGAGTGGATGAGGCCATTTCCTCATGATCTGTATGGCTGGCTGGAGTTGGGGTAATAGTCCCGTGAGTAGATGAGGTTGATACAGTTTTATTTCTGTTTCTTGTTACAGTTCGTGTGTTTCTTGTGACAATAAGACAGGTTGTTTTTCCCCTGGGTTTTGGTGTTGAATGACTTGCATCAGAGGATTTGTTATGCATGTTGGGAGAGTTAGAAGAAGGTTCTTGTCGAATAAATGGGCCTTTTCTTTGATTGCTGGGGTTTTGTTCAGAAGTAGAAGGAACTTCAGGATGAATTGTAGCATTTTTTGGGTTATCTGCAGGTTTGTGAGTTGTCTTGGAATGAAGTGTGGAGTTGTAGTGGGATTTTGGCATTTGAGTTCCTATAGATTTAGGAAGGTCTGGAGGACTGTGTCCTGAATGAAGAGCACTGTGGTCAGAGGCAGCACTGTGAACGAGGCTTGGCGTGGGAGTGGGGGCTGAATGACCAGATGCTGGAGATTCACCAGGTTTCTGAAGTTCCTGAAATGTGGTAGCTCCTGTGCAGGGAGAGAGGTAAATAAGACACTTCCTCCTGAACTCCCCTCCTCCCCTGCCCACCTTCACCACTAGGAAACCTTTTTTTACTGCATGTATATCCCCCCAGCCAGTCTCCTCAGAATACTCTGCTATCAAATCCCCATTCTTACCCCATCTCTCGCCTTTGCTTTGGCTGTGCCTTCAGCAAGAATACACCCTCTCCACCGCTACTCTTCAGTTCTCAATTTCAATTTTTTAGTTATGTAGAATATTTCCTGATCCTTCCAAGCAAGTAAGATGTAGCTTCATCTCATGTTTAAAAATTATTTGTTAATTATCCAGTCAAGAAATGGGCAGAAGAACTTAAAAAACACTTCTCTAAAGAGGAAATGCAAATGGCCAATAGGCATATGAAAAAATGTTCAACATCTCTTATAATCAGAGAAATGAAAATCAAAACCACACTGAGATACCACCTTACACCAGTAAGAATGGCACATATCAAAAAAAAAAACTAGCAACAACAAATGTTGGTGAGGATGTGGTGAAAAAGGAACTCTCCTACATTGCTGGTGGGAGTGCAAACTGGTCCAACCACTATGGAAAGCTGTCTGGAGTTCATCAGTTTACTAAAAATGGAGCTACCATATTACCTGGCCATTAAACTACTAGGGATTTACCCAAAGGACACAAAAATATTGATTCAAAATAATACCTGTACCCCTGTGTATTGCAGCACTATTTACAATAGGTAAAACCTGGAAACAACCCAAATGCCTGAAAGTAGATGACTGAATCAAGAAGATGTGGGATATATACACAATGGAATACTATTCAGCAATCAAAAAAGATAAACTATTGCCATTCGCAGCAATGCAGATGGAGCTAGAAGGAATTACGCTCAGTGAAATAAGTCAGAAGGAAAAAGAAAAATATCAGATGGTTTCACTTATAGGAGGAATATAGGGGAGCCAGATAAGACAGTAGGGAAAAAATAATAACAATACAAAACACGACAAAACAACAACAAAAAACAACCCAGACAAATATAAACCAGAGACATTCTTCAGGGGAGGCGGAGGGAGAGAGATGGCGGGAGAGAGGGAGGAGCACAGGGGACTGAGGTGATGGTGTACGGGTGCGGTGGTGGAGCAAATTCTATGGGGACCACACCTGAGTGGGGGGGGGAAGAAAAGCAAACATTGTTTAAAAATGAACAATAGGGCCTCCCTGGTGGAGCAGCGGTTGAGCGCTGGGTTGCAAAGCTGCCCGCAGCCTCTGCAGTGCCGGTTCGATCCCCGTCTGCTCCCCGGCCACCGGAGGAGGGTCCCACATGGCGCGCAGACCTCTCCTGCCACCCACTGCTCCCCTCAGCAGTGTACTTCGGGCCCTCTGCCTGCTCTGCTCCCCACTCTGGCTCTGGTGAATTCTCTCACCCTCCCGCGCCTCTGACTGTACCCAGTGCTTGTATAAATAAATAAATAAATCTTTAAAAATAAATAAATAAATAAATAAAAATGAACAATAATGTAAAATATATATAAATAAATAAATGTTTAAAATTGTTTGTTAATTACTCTTTCCTATGACTTTCAACTTGACACTACAGTTGTGTGCCTGTCATCCTCTGACCCCTACCCTGCTGACACACTGTGAGATGTAGTGAGAAGATATTGCCTGGCATTTTGCTCTAGAAGTTCTCCTTTGGGGTTAGATACTTATGGAATGGAGTTCCCATCCATGGCAGAGCTGCGGGGAAAGGGAATAATGATCAGAATCTCCATCTTTCTTTTTGTAACACTCCAGGTCCATGTCAAATGTCACAGTGTGAGAGAATGAGGGAGGACTCTGGCAGAGCCTCCCCATGGGAATTAGTGAGTAGACACAGATGATGAATGAGAGAAGGATATGAGAAGGGGATTGGAGGATGGGAAGCTTTCATTCTGATGGTGCAGCTTGGTCTGGATGCAGGGAAGTGGGTGAGATGACTGGACCTTTATGGCTCCCCTACAGAATCCCCTTCCTCACATCACCAAATCTGGGAGAGATGAATGTGGCCCTCCTGAAAGAAAAGGGGATCTTTTGGGGAGTTCTGAGAGGAGTTCACAAGACAGCTGGATTCTGGGAGCACATGACCATGTTTAAGGACAAGGTGTGAGGGAAAACACCCCTATCATGAACAGATATGGGGCTGAAACAAGAGATGTCTCTGATATCTTCCAGGAGAGTGAAAGACTGAGGTTGCCACAGAGCGGGAGAGATAGTGTAGTTACATACTAAGATTGCCAGCCTCTGTTAGCTCAGGGTGGCAACCAGAACCTGGATTCATTCCCAGCGCAGGAAACCACAATCCAGCTGCCTCCAAGCTGAGGAGAGTTGAGGGCTGGGAGTTCAGTCCTTGCCAGAAATATGGGTGGGACAAGAAGGCTGCGCAAGTAGGAGAGAAATCCAAGTTCTCAAAGGGAATCAAGGTTGGGAAATTGCCAGGCCCTGGCTTCATGACCCCAGTTCCATTCTCCATCCTCGGCAGCAACACCAGCGCAAGTTACCCTGCGTCCTCACCTTCTCCAGACCAGGCTCAACTGGCTGCATCACATATTCTCTTTCTGGATTCTCTTTCATACTGGGATGCGACTCCCAGGTCCCCACAAGCAACCACATTATAGCCCATAAGTAAAGTAGCAAACCTACTTTATAGCCCATAAGTAAAGTAGCAAACCTACTTTATAGCCCATAAGCTTGAGTGTCACAGAGGAACAGTCACTTGCACACAATCCTGCTGCCTAATGATGGCTAAGCTTTCTGAAGGTTGAGAACTATTTATTATTCTCCCCTTTCATAGATAATAAAACATGATACAGAGGGGTTAAGTCATCTCCCCAAGGACACTCAGCAAGTATTGAACATACATTCTGGGCCCCCAGGCCAGGCTTTTATGGGTTACAACCACATGGATGAACCCAGTCTCTTGGAGAAGGATGAACGTGAACCCTCCCCCCACACTGTGGACCCCAGAAAAATGCTGTTCATTTATTTGTTTGCTTAACCTTAACCTTTACCACCTGTGAGGCAAGTATACGATCTTACTATTTTACAGGTGAAGAAAGGAGGGTCAAAGAGATTAAGTCATTGGCAAAGTCAGACTTTTCACTACATCCCAGATGCTTTAAAACATAAGGGATGAGGGCCTCCCCTGGTGGCATAGCAGTTGAGTGCTGGGCTGCAAAGCTGCCCACAGCCTCTGCAGCGCCAATTCTATCCCCGGCCACCAGGTGAGGGTCCCACGTGGCGCGCAGACCTCTCCTGCCATGCCCGCTGCTCCCCTTAGCAGTGTGTTTTGTCAGTCTGCCTGTTCTGTTCCCCGCTCTGGCTCTGGTGAATTCTCTCACCCTTCTGTGCTTCTGACTAACAGTGCTTGTATAAATAAATAAATAAATCTTTAAAAAACAAACAAAACATAAAGGATGAAAAAACATCTACTGAGTGGAATGAATGAGTGAGCAGCAGAGCAAAGTGGCAAATTCCACTGGCCTGAAAGAATCCAGGCTTTGTCCCGCACCAGCTGCATGTCCTTGCTCAAGTCACTTCAACTCTCTGCAGCCCCAAGTCCTCAACTGTCAATCATGAAATAGTAAATAATGCACCCAGTTTAGTGTGAGGATTAAAGGAATTATGGAGCATAGAGGACTCTGAAACATAGGAGATTCTTGAAAGTTTTTGTGGAATCAGAATTGTAGTCTTGGAAATAATCCCACTGTGCCCTGTTCTTCTGGATGTAAGGGGAGCCTGGGCTCACAGCCCTGCCCCATGCCGGCCATAGAACCTGGGATGTCTTCAACCTCACCAGCTCCATGCATCCCAGTGCCTACCTTGGCCTGCCTTGCCTCCTCAAAGGCAGCCCTTCCTCCCCCTGCATTCCCAGGCAGAGTTTATCTGCTATGTTTTATCAACCCAGAACCCATCACTTTCTGATATACGATAAAATATAGTTTAATTCCATGATGGCAGTGATTTGTATTTGTTTTATTTATTGTACATCTTTAGCCTACAACAATGACTGACCTGCAAGAAACACACCATAAATTTTTATTGGATGGATGAAGGAAGGGCTATTGTAAGACTCAAAAACTCTTAAGAAGGCTTGCCAACAACCTATGATATTTGTTAAATGAAAAGCAAACAGACAGTGCCTTTCCCAGTTTGGAAGGCCAAGAAGTAACTTCTGTTATATTACAAGTAATTGAACCCCCGAGACAAAAAACGATAGTTAAAGAAGGCCTCTAGCCCACTAGTTCTGGGACACACATCATTTGATTATAGGACACCACACAGTCAACTACACTCTAGATCTTAAAATTATTTTTTTTTGAAGATTTATTTATTTATTTATACAAGCACTGGGTACAGTCAGAAGCGCTGGAGGGTGAGAGAATTCACCA